TACTACACCACTAGTGATTGTAGATTCCACTCGATTGATATGATTCGTTTGATCATCACCGGAGTACAACATTATGAATTGTTTGCGTGTGACATTCTCTCTAGGTGAGAATGGTCGAACTGGGAGCAATAGCTCCATATATGGCAAGCACAACGAGAAGAGCTCTCATGTTTTTTCTTCCTTACGCCAAAGAAAACTAATTTACATACTCGCACAAATCCCAGATGGCTGCAAATCATCACCACCACATGCCAAACACTCTAGGGAACAGTTCCCTTAGTTTACATTCGTCAAACGTCGTCGGCGTACATTACAGAGTCGGAAAGAAGATTGGTGAAGGCAGCTTTGGTGTTATCTTTGAGGGTAAGAGCTTCTCATACAACCTTGCTTCTTCGTCTTTTCCTTTTTTTCCATGTATTATGTGTCTTATATTCTCAAGACTGCTTTCCGAGTGATCAGGTCCTGCCACTAAACACGCTAGCTAGGATCTAGAGTTAGTTATTCCAGTAGTTCCATAAACTTTGCTTTTCCCACATCATTTCATCGATTTTCTACTTGTTTATATTATTCTTCAAAATACATTAGGAACAAACCTTCTAAGTAATCAACAAGTCGCCATTAAATTTGTATGTCGAGTTTTCATTCTTTGAGGTCTTCTTGTCCGAGTTTATCGTACAACTTGCTAACTCTCATTCTATTCCAGGAACCTCGCAAAAGTGACGCACCACAACTCCGTGATGAATATAGAACATATAAAATTCTGGCCGGATGTCGTGAGTATCCTTCTTGTCATCAATACAGTCATGAAACTGAGTCTTTCCCTTTTTCTAACGCTTTATTCTACTACTTTTCCAAAGCTGGTATACCGAATGTCTATTATTTCGGACAAGAAGGTCTTCACAATGTTTTAGCAGTGGACTTACTAGGCCCAAGTTTAGAAGATTTATTTGACATGTGCGGAAGAAAGTTTAGTATCAAAACGGTTGTCATGGTAGCTAAACAAATGGTATGGTAATATCAAATTGCTATCTTTAAAAGTCGATTCTCACTATCTTTGCTCACTGTCAAATCATTTCCATATGCCCTCCTCTCTCTTCCTCTCTCTATCTTGCGCTTTATGTGGATTATTATGTATGCACTTTGCTTGATATTTTCAGCTTACGCGCGTGCAAACAATTCACGAGAAGAATCTTATATATCGCGATATCAAACCAGATAATTTTTTAATCGGGCGTCCGGGCACAAAAGCTGCAAACGTTGTACACGTAGTCGATTTCGGTATGGCAAAACAATATAGAGATCCAAGGACAAAACAACACATTCCTTATCGAGAAAGAAAAAGTCTCAGCGGTACGGCAAGATACATGAGTATCAACACTCATTTAGGTCGAGGTATGCTTCACAACTCGCAATTGGATATTCAAACAATCTATAAGCTAGATCTATTTATTCACCGTATCATCGTCTCTTTATAGAACAATCAC